ATTCCTGCTTTCTTTAAGTAAATGAGTTGCTTTAGTTTCCTCTCTATGTAAAACTTGCTCTGTATCTTCAACCACTTTTTCTTCACTTACTCCTGCCTCTGAGAAAGATAACTTCTATCTTCCTTGGCACATCCTACCCCTAGGCTAATGACCTTAGTTTTACCTTCGCTCACATCCTTCAGAACCCTGCTCAATTAACTTTTATGTCTTCATTTCCACTGGATCCTTTTCTTCTGCTTACATGTAAGCTCGTGCTTACACTAAAAATATTAGAAATAAAATTTGGGGCTTCCCTGGTGGTGCGGTGGTTAAGAATCCACCTGCCAATGCAGGGGACACGTGTTCAAGCCCTGGTCCAGAAAGATCCCACATGCCGCAGAGCAACCAAGCCCATGCACCACAACTACTGAGCCTGTGCTCTAGAGCCTGCATGTCACAACTACTGAGCCCGCGAGCCTAGAACCCATGCTATGCAACAAGAGAAGCCACTGTAAAGAGAAGCCCATGCACCGCAATGAAGAGTAGCCCCCACTCACCGCAACTAGAGAAAGCCCGCACATAGCAACAAAGACCCAATGCAGCCAAAAATAAATAAATAAAATAAATATTTTTTAAATAAATAAATAAAATAAAATAAAATTTGCATCAATCCTGACACCCCTCTCAAGCTATCTTGAAATTTTCTCCCTTCCCTCTATCTCTAGATAATATTAAATTGCCAGTTCTTCACCAACCACCACATTCCAATGCCCTTTGTCATCAGGATTCTTATCCTAACACTACACTGAAATAATTCTTTCTTGACCCCTCTGTATTATTTGGTACTGTTAACCATACCCTCCTTCAGGAAACTGTCTTGTCTCTAGGCTTTGTCTGGGTTCATCTCCAATCTCTCTGACATGTTTTCACATGCCCCTTTTACAGGATTATCTTCTCCTAACCTTCAGCATTACTTAAGCATCTGTATTTGGTCTTTTACTTCACTTGCTTCTTATGGTAGCCACTAGCCACATGTGAGTATTAAATTTAAATAAACTAAAATTAAATCAGCCAGTCACAAAAGACTACAAATTGTGATTCCACTTATAGGAAATGTCCAAAATGGACAAATCAATGGAGACAGAAAGATTAGTGCCTGCCTAGGGCTGAGGAAGTTGGGGAAATTTGGGAAGTGACTGCACTAGTACCGGCTTTCTTACTGAGGCAATGAAAATGTTCTAAAATTCACTGTGGTAATGGCTGCACAACTCTGTGAATGCACTAAAAACCACTGAATTGTACAGCTTCAATGGATGAATTGTATGGTATGTGAATTATATCTCAATAAAGCTGTTATTAAGAAAAATTAAGTTAACAGTTCAGTTACAGTGACTAGCTACATGTCAACCATTCAATAGCTATATGTGGCTAGTGGCAGCCATGTGAGACAGTCCAGATAGAGAACATCACAGAAAGTTCTGTAGTACAGTGCAGGTAGACTCAGTTGGTTGACTGTATTTTTTTTCTTTTATTCTTCCTATACACTATGTGGTATCTGAAGAATTGGAGGCAATTAATAAATGGTTATAAAATGTTAATAAATCACTCAAATGATTGCTTCCGTATAACAGAGTTGTGGCTAAAATGGATCTCAAGCAAAACACTATAATCGGGTTTTATTCTATTTACATTTTTGCTTGATTTGGAAATTAATGCTACTGAGATACTACATGAATCATTTTAAATGTTTGTATTCCCTTATCCACCAGGCAAGGGACTATAAAAGCAAAATTAGTGTTATACCTAATGCATTAGTGTTTCTTAAACTGCAGAAAGGAGGTCTACAACAGAGCTATGACTGAGGACAAGGATTTTGAGCAGAGATGTCTCAACAAACCACTGATAATTACGAAGTTACACGGGTTGTTTGTTGGCTTTCTTTTTTATGGGGGAAGGGTGAGTTGGGGAGTGGATAAGTAATGTGAAGTAACAACGTATGTTGCCAAGTATAACATGAAGAAAGGTTTTCAAACTTTTGGATCAGTGACATGTTCAATGAGTTTACATTTTGGGGGGTGTTCATTTCCTTTTAATTAATAAAGAAGTGCCTGTTTCTTCCTTAAGCCTGAACCATAACATGAAACATATTTTTACCAATATATATTTTTTTTAATTTTAAGCAGAGGTAATTAGTTAATGACCATTGGAAAGTAAATACTGAATAGCAGCTCAGCCACCAGGATATAATTAGACTAAGGCTCACCAAGTAGATTTGTTAGGATGAAGGTAAGATTATGAGTTCTTTACATGATTATTTGTTCCCTGTTATTATTGCTACAGTGTTTATTTAATAAATATATTTTAAATAAGAATTTTAAAGTACTATATTTTGCTATATACTGAATGTTTATATCCTCCACAAATTCATATGTTGAAATCCTAACCCCCAGTGAGATGGTATTAGGAGCAAAAACACAGCCATCTCCGAACCAGGGAGTAGAGGCCTCACAAGACATCAAATCTGCCAGCACCTTGATCTTGGACTTCCTAGCCTTGAGAACTGTCAAGAAATAATGAAATAAGAAATAAATGTCTGCTGCTTTAGCCACCCAGTCTATGGCATTCTGTTATAGCATCCCAAATGAACTTAGAAATTGGTACTGAGAAATGGAGTGCTGTAGCAAATACCTAAAAATGGGGGAGCAGCTTTAAAACTGGGTAATGGGTAGAAGCTGGAAGAGTTTTGAGGTGCGTGCTAGAAAAAGTCTGCATTGCCGTGACTGGACTCTTAGGGGCAATTCTGTTGAAAGCTCAGAAATAAAAGAGAGTTAGTTGTAGAGAAAGCCTCAGTCTTCTCAGAGAATACCTAGGTAATCCTGAACAGAATGCTGGGCGTAAAATTCATATTGATGAGGTCACAGAAATGAAGAACATGATACTGGAAACTGGAAGAAAGGTGATCTTTGTTATGAAGTGGCAAAGAACTTAGCTGAATTGTGTTCATGTTCTAGCGTTTGTAGAAGGTAGAACTTGCAAGTGATGAAACTGGATATTTAACTTAAGCTATTTCTAAGCAAAATATTGAAGGTGCGACTTGGCTCCTCCTGACTACAATATAAATAAATATAAATATAGTGCAAGTTAAAGACAAGCAAAGAGGAAGCAGAAATCAAAGATTTGGAAAATTCTCAGCTCATCAATACTGTAAAAAATGAGAAAGTATGGTCAGAAGGAAACACTAAGGGGATGGCCAAGTGACTGTTTAAGGAGATGTCCTTCAGTAGGTGAATGGGTAATGCACTGTTATACGTCCAGAAAACGGAATATTTTTCAGCACTAAAAAGAAATGAGCTATCAAGCCATGAGAAGACATGGAGGAACCTTAAATGCATATTACTAGGAAGCTAATCTGAAAAGGCTACATACTGTATGATTCTCAACTCTATGACAATCTGGAGAGGGCAAAACTATGGACAGAGTAAAAAGATACCAGTAGCTGTCAGAGACCGTGGGGAGGGAAAGATGAATACGCAGAGTACAGAAAATTTACAGGGCAGTGAAAATACTCTGTATGATACTATAATGGTGGATAAGTGTCATCTGTCTAAATCCATAGAATGGACAACACCAAGTATGAGCCCTAATGTAAACTATGAATGTTGGATGATTATGTCAATGCAGTTATACCAATTTTACATGTGGAGGCTGTGCATGTGTAGGGGGAGGAGATATATGGGAAAAATTCTATACTTTCTGTTCAATCTGGAACCTAAAACTGCTCTAAAAAATTAATTTTAAAAAAAGAAAAGCAAGAAGCATCCTCGTGGTGATGATAATGTTCTGTATCTCAATGTCAATATCCTAGTTGTGATATTGCACTAGAGTTTTGCAAGATGTTACCAATGGGATAAACTGGGTAAAGGGTACACAGGCTCTATCTCTACTATTTCTTAAAATACATGTGAATCTACGATTATTTCAAAGTTTTTCTTAATTAATTCTTTTTAAAGATGATGGCATATTAGATTAGGGCCCTGACAACAGAGGAGGAAGAAAATGGGTTCAAGAAATATTTAGGTGGTAAAATCTACACATTTGGTAATCTACTAGTTGGTAATGACTTGACTATGATGGTTAAGAGTTGAAGGCTGAGGAAGAAGGTGTCATGGGTAACATTTAGGATTCTGAGGAACTTTTGAGATACTCCAGTGGAAATTTCACGTGAGCAGGAC